TTTCTCTCTCTCTCTCTTTCTTTCTTTCTCAAACACACTAACACTTTTCATCTCTCTTTCACATACAAACACACACATTCTCTCTTTCTCTCTCTCTCACTCACTCTCTCTCTTTCTTTCTCTCTTTTCTCTCTCTTTCTCTCTCTCTCTCTCCTCTTTATCTCTCTCTTTCTCTCTTTTCTCTCTCTCTCTCTCTGTTGTGCAGCCAGAATCCATTAGGCCAAGATGAGACTTGCAGACGGGATCTTGTTGCTAATTCAATCTGTGGCTCTCCAGCCAAGAAAAGACTGCAATTTTATTTCATCCTTCAGTTTTAAGAACATTGTTATCAGGATTGAAGTCTTCCCAAAGGATCAACTTATTCGGTTAAAAGGTACAGAAAAAAAAATTCAGACCTTGAAAGGGAATGTTGTGAATGTAAAATTAAGTCGTGTTTGGTGCAATTACAGACTCCCTCCACTGCTGCCAAGACCCTCAACTCCCTGGGGCAGACGTCAGCTGAGCCTCGGGCCCTAAACTGTCCTCATTTGACCCAAACACGCTACACTGAGTGTAGCCCCGGACTCATCACAACACCTCTCAACTGCTCCACTTTAAAAACCCCTGCAAACTGCAACCTTAATTTGCTGTAAGGTGGTGATGAATTGCGATGTTAAAAAAGCTATCAGGCCGCCCAAGTAGACAAAGTTCTCCGAGTTCCCATGCAGACTAACTCAGGGTTCTGAGGTTCTTAACTACCCTTTCCATTCCAACCCCCACCCCCCACCCCGCAACCCCCCCCCCCAACCCCCACTCCCACCCGAATCCTGGCTTGGCAGGAGATTGACATAAAGCTTCAGTCTGATCACATTTGTTGCCAATGCCACGCTAAGCATCGGTTTGTGTAGATACATTTCATTTTTCTCTCTCTGAGAGAGAAAGAGAAACGTGCAGTAAACTAGCATGCTGAATATCCTGTAATAGTGACCATTACCACAGTCAGGGACAAGCAATGATCCCAAAACAACCAGAATAGATCAATCAAATACACAAAACCCCTGTAACTCTTTTAAAAGACTCGCCTCATGAATAATCAATGCTGCAAAGAGCTGGGTTTCTGAACATGTAAAATGGACTGTCTAGTGCGGTAGAAACTAGTCAATTTTGCTCTCCACCGGGGTCCCAGTGCGCTGGTGGAAGCAGCTGCTACATGGAAAATCTAACAAATAATATTTCATGAAATAACGCGAGGTTTGCATGAACTCCAATTTCTATATTAATACGTAGATAACGCAACTGTGTAGCAGGGCAAATATAGTGCCCAACTGAGACGGACTCTGTGTGCATGGCAGTTCACTTGCAGTTCAGATAACAAGTTTAAGCATGTAAATGATCGCAACGTTTCTCTAATGAAAGGAAATTTCATGTAATGAGCAGTTGTTTTTTCCACGCTTAATCATAAGCTCCTCCTCTTCTGTGGGATCTATTACTTACCAAATATAATTTCAATACATGGAGTGGTTGAGTATTATTATACCTATTTCTAATTTCTAATAAAAAATTGAAAAAGAATACAGATAATGTTCACTACTTCTGTATCACCAAATTCTGGCACCAAAATATTTTATGCATAATCTAAGAAATTCTTGAATCCCCACACTTATTAGTTGTGCCAGACGGAGAAAAATTACCTCGCGTACATCCCTACATCCCTGTCAAATCCAGAAAGTAAATTAACCCAGAGGACATTCATTTTCTTTGATCAGATTATTTTTTTGCCATCGGCAAATCAATGCCAAGAATGACGCTAAGCTCAGACATCTTGGCCGTGCAAATTAATAACTTCACAAGATACGGCGATACGGAAAGAGAAAGGTTATTTGGCCAAGACAAAAGATTCATCGCGCTGAACAGAGAATACAGATTCAAACGTAATCAACCAGTTGCAAGGCTACCACTCACATTACAGAGGTGGATCCAGAGAGATTTTCTGACAGCCTTCCAAATTATCTCTGTTGATCCATCATCCATTTTTGACCGTCTTCTGACAGAAAAAAATAGATACCCGTCAATGTAAACTTTAAAACCTGACCATCTTCCGGAAGACCAAGAAGACAGTCTCAATCCGCCCTAGCATCATTCATATTAACATATTTTTTTTTCTCACTTCTATACATTCAGCTGACACTGCAATAACAGTGTACATGTAGGCTTTCTCTCCTCCAGACCCAAGGGTTACGTTATATTAAATTATATCTGTAGCTTGTGCAATCATGGTAATTACATATTCCTAGTGCTTCCTCCAGACTAATCAAATGTTGCATGAAAAAAAAAAAGGTTTGTAGATTTTTTGTTCAACACTAGTGCAAAAAGAGTTCTCAAATAAAAATTTATAATTATCGATCTCGAAAGCACAATTTAAGATCACTGATATGAAATGTACGGAGCTGCGTTTTCTAGGCACACACACATATATCTGACACACTTTTGCAATCAATTTCTCTATTTTCATAACTATTCTTCTCTGACAGGTTGTTACCCCTAAAAATCTACAGTATATATTATAACAATACTGGTATCTTACTTAATCACATTCAAGAGAGCGAGCAAGAGGTTGAGCCCAGTTTAGCTCAATGCACTAATCAAATGTTGCACAAAAAAAAATAGATTTGTAGATTTTTATGTTCAAAATTAATTTAAAAGAGTTCTCAAATAAAAATTCATAATTATTGATCTTAAAGGCAAAGTTTAAGATCACTGAAATGAAATGTACAGAGCTGCATTTTCTAGGCACTCACATGTCCGACAGTTTTATGATCAATTACTCTATTTTCATTACTATTCTTTTGTGACAGGTTGTTCAGCTTAACTTCTATACTATATAATAAATTATAATTTGTATCTAACTTTATCACATTCAAGAGAGCGAGCAAGAGATTCAGCCCAGTTTAGCTCAAGAAGACATACTTCATTAGCACAAGATGTCAGTGTTGTGTACATGTACATTTACCTGTTAACACAAGAAAGGGCAGACAGAAATCATGTTCTTGAAAGGTCATTTTTTTTTGTAGTGCAATTATATTATATGAATAAATTGGCCACTTTGTTTCTGGGCTCATCTGTTTCTCTATTTGTTGGTTTGTTAGATAAAAGATCGACTCAATAAGTTAAGGGCAGATTTTGATAAAACTTTCAAGACAGACCTAAGATGGGCTAACTTAGAACCAGTTATGTTTTAGACTTGATCCATTAATTAATTGATTGGTTAATTAATAATAAAAAGAGGTGTGTAATTTTAGTCTAGTTAATATTCCCCAATCGTAGATCTCTCTTTCCTTCCCTTCCTCTCTCTCTCTCTCTCTCTCTCTCTCTCTCACACACACACACACTCTACCCTCTTTTCTTCTCTCTTTCCTTCTCTGTTCACTTGGTCAGTGATGCAAAAAATGTATTTATCACATAGCTGAAGACAACAGGCAGAGATAAAGATTTCAGGACAAGTACTTGATATGCAAGGCCCCACGGCTATTTCACCCTGTAATGACAACTTTTCAGTGAGGGTAGAACGATGGGAAATTGCTGCACAAGAATAGTAACAGCCAGAACAAAATGACAGAGATATGTCCCCCTTGTATTGTTCGTCTTTTGCCCCAGAAGGAAAATTGGTTCAAGTGTGACGAGGTGCACTTATAATGTCAACCATTTTGATATTGAATACGGCAAGGAGGAGAACTAGAATTTCAAAGCATTTGAATGTGCTACAGCACTGGAAATATAGCTTGAAGGTTGTTGACAACAAAAGTGTAAATTTGAAAAAAAAAATTGCCAAAGTACCTATCCACAAAATGCTGAATATCCTTTATATGATAAATATTTTTAAACAATATTTTTTTCATTTTTGATAAATGCTTAAACAATATATTTACTTACCCCACTCTTCAGACCAGATTATTTCAGTTCTACCGTGTAAAATTTACAAATCTGTCATATCACGAATCACAGAGACACGCTGAATATATATAGTATTAGCACTCCAACAGTGGCATCTGGTTCATTTTCATAAAAGATTTTTATAATATCAAAATAAATAAGATTACACACCTGAAAGAATTTCACATGGGCATGAAATCTCCATATTTACAGGGGGCTTAAATCACTCATTATATACTTTAGAGCTTTTCATCTTTCCACAAAAATATGAATGTAAGAGCAAAAATCAGCCATTTAAAACACTCATAATTGTCCATAAAATTTGCACTTTTGATAAACAACTTCCTATTAATTGTTCCATCAAAGGGGTGAAAATCCTGCACTCTGCAGTACATCAATAAGGGCATCTTTTGAGGGCCGTTGAAACACGTCAGTGAAAAATGACTTCCACTACTATCCAAACACACTGACAGAAATGTAGTGGGTTATAAATGACACTTTCCCAAAGAGGTCCAGAATGGCCCTTGAGTTCAAAATCTAGTTGAACCCGCGATATAAATATCAGCTCAAGATATTTGCACTAAGGATGGAATTCTCATAATTCCTCCATCTCTAACCAGTTATGTTCACTGAGTACTCAGGTTTACACTATTCAGATTTCAACTTTCAACCTTTTCTTTTCATCTCTGACCTATGTTTTTAACTCAACATCGCAGACCTCTATAACGTTAATAATTTATCCCCTCAGCAAGCTAAACCAATGTATTATCATTTAAAATTCCATAAATAGTAATTCTAACAGAAATTAAAGACCTTAAAACAAGTTGATGCCTGTGTAATTTTGACAGATATTGGAGACATAAAACTGCATACGTCTTCTTTGTTCTAACAGAATGAGGGCAGCTACCTAGGAAAAGTTGACAGAGCAAATATCAATATTTAACAATCATTATCCTAAGTGTTCAAACAATTGATTCATATGGTAAAAACACTGCACCTGAAAGTTAGACAAAAATCAGGTTTTTAATGGAAGCAATTCCTGGCAAACCAATTCACCCATCCAACACTCAAAGCCCTGGTCCGATACTCACCCTAAAGTAGTCATAGTAACGATGGTGTACCAAAATGCTGCAGGGATACTGGTAAATTTTGTGTTTTCTACGTTCTTTTCTGCATAAAACATTATTGTGGCAAATATGATGATAGCCATTGCAAGGGAAAATACCAGGAACCCCAGTTCGCTGGCACAGCTCTTCAAAGTGTAGCCAAGGATTCGTAATCCCTGCGAATGCCTTGAAAACTTAAAGATACGAAAAACTCTGAAGACTCTGAGAGTCACGAATGCACCACTAACGTCGTCATTTTCTTCCGTAAGAAACAGCCCGATGTAGTAGGGTAAAATGGCCACCACATCGATTACACTCATTATGCTACGCATGTATTTACAGCGATCAGGCGCTGCGTACAGCCGAAGGAGATATTCCACTGAGAAAATCATGACGCATGCAGTGTCTACTACAAAGAACACCTTTTCGTACCGGTCCCCACAAGAAGGATTATCAAATGTTCCCGGTACGATTCCACATGGAACGGTTTCCACCACATTTCCCATTACTGACACAGCAATAAAGAACCCTGTCACATAATAAAACACTAATGCTGCGGTACCCGTTTGAGGATTTTCAAAAGCACGCCATAATTTTTCCCTCATAGAGGCCAGGGGTACATTATCACCATCTTCAGAATCTTTGTCATCGAGCAAGCGCTCATTGTTCTCGCGTTTTCTGTCCCTATAATCTTCGTAACAGCAATCGCCAATAATGTCAGGCATGATACCGAAGAATGCGAGCTCTTCATCATACGCCGTAATGCATTCATGCTTTGGATAGTGCAACTTCCCAGTTCTGTAATAATTAAGAACATTTCTGAAAATATCTGGATCACGGTCAAAGAAATATTCCTTGGCGTCTTCATCGTAGAAAAACTCCTTTTCGTTTGATCCAAGCAGAGTGTCAGGGTACTTCTCAAGAGTATTTCTCCAAGTTTCAAACCTGCGCCCGCTGACGTTGATCTTCATCAAATCATCGGTGCGGTTGTGCTCCCTATTCACGGGGGGAGGGGGCATGGGTTGCTGAGCCACCGGAACCCAACCGATGGCCGCCGCTCGGGCGAAGGGGAGCCAGGCTGCCACCGCTGCCATGCTGCTTGGTACTGCCTGCTAACGCTACAGCTTCCCTTCACTACAAGGTGTACAGCACAGCCTGTGAATTAAAATAGTAGCCCAACTATTATTACCCACACTCACACACTCGGTCCGGTTCGCTAATAGACCCTAGCTAGTATTGGATAACACCACCGTTTTGTAGCTTCGACACGGTAAGTTTAGGCGGTGCGTGCATTATTATAAGACCCATAAATCACATTTGAATTAACGTAGATGTTAGCGCATTTAGTGGACAACCCTTAAGTGCGTGTCCGGTGTCCGAAGTCTGTTTGGAACCTGGCGAACATGACTATTTCTCCCGTCGATCCATAAGTCTTGCCAGCCTGCGCCATGTTGCCTGGCCTTCTAATCGATATCTGGCTGTGTATGGATTATTGGAGCAGCGAGTTGGGAGAATTTAGAACCGGCTGACGTAGCCACCGTTCTCGGCCGCCTGCACACATAGACGACGCCAGGAAAGGGTGCCAATTAAGAAAAATTCGAATTTTCTCCTTTTGTGCCTATATTTTCGACTCCTATAACTGCAGAAACTCTCCTAGCTGCAATGTGTTTTTACTTAGAATTTGATTGGGGTCGTTACTTTACTTTGCTTTACAGGTTGATTCAATAAATCTTACAAAGATCCAATAATGCGACTCAATAGAGTTCTTTATTCTTCGCCACTCTCATTTTTCCAATATTTGCAAGGCTTAGTACGGTTGAGTTGTCTGTATGAATTACCTCGTAACCAAAGGAGCTACTGTGGCCAGTCTACGAATCAATACGTGCGCCGCTTTGGGGCTTGGGACAAAATAGTCGGCGTAATGAACTGGCGGCGCACTCGTGTATTTTCGACCATATTTTCTGGTGCATGCCAGCTAGAAAGTAAACAAAAGGATGGAAGATCAACCGTGCTACGGTCTGTTGGCTCTAATTTCCGGATCTCGCATCAGAATGCTACAGCTGCGCCCACATCCATTAGGAAACAGTAGTCTAATCAGGAAGTAATCCGTTTGTCCGGCGATTTTGTTCGATCTTTTCACTCGGATTTATTATGAACACTTCTGCTGCCAACATCTTGTTAGAATACGTTAGAATACAGACATAACATGGACAGCTGAGTCACTAAAGAATTGTTCTGTACTAGCCCATAAAGACGTGGCCTAGCGTTGTCTTTCACTTTGGTAAACCTAGTGGACGTACCAACATACCCTACATTTCATACATTATTTTGATAAATAAATAAATAGGGCCTAAATAAATAAATGCATGAATAAATAAATAAAATTATAAATGAATAAATGTATAACTTATTACAGTAAACATAAAGCTTACAAATGCTCAAGATTTAACACCGTAAGAACCGCCCTTTTGGCCCGACAAGGTACGCTCTTAAAACGAATCTAGGTTCTATTCCATTTCTTAGGTTGGATCAGCTGCTGGGGGTTAAAACGTCTACTTTTTTAAGAGCCCCTCTGAAATTTCTTGCCATAGGCCTGTATGACTTGAAGTCAATGCTGTCTGTCTGTCCGTCTGTCTGTCTGTCTGTCTGTCACTCCGCCGGCTCATTGTTGGTACCTTTATAAGTACCTCGGAACCAATGTTATCTGTCGTTCGTCTTGTTTATTATCTCCACCCCACCCCCACTCCCTCTGTTTGTCTATCCATTAGCCAAGAGCTAACAGGAGAAAATAGTGGCATGATTCGTAGACTGGATATTTTTTTACTTTTTAAGCCTATTTTGATTTTTGTTTTTTAACAAAGGTAGAGGTTCTTTTGCAATTGGCTGAATTTCTCAGCCTGATAAGCTTATGTTTAAATGGCAATAAGTATAAAGACAGGTAAAAAGAGTTGGGAAGCCGATTGTCTCCGAGAAAAGAAAAATTGATAGCGAGCAGCAAGCAAACCAAATGTTCAGTGTGCGAGGACTTTCATGCTGCCTACTAGTCAAGTTTGCTGCAACTGGAAATTATGTGAATATGTTGAACAATGTCATTGTGTCCTTAAATTGTATGAAATAAACTTAAAAGTTAAACCTAAGAAATGGGTCTTTTATAGAGCCATTAGCTTATTTTCTGGGGTCATAAGCATATTTCGCCTCTATTATACAGCTTCTATTGTAGAAAAATCAGGCTTATTTCACGTGCAAGACTTTAGTCAACTGATCTTTTAAGATTAAGATCTCGGTCAGGGTTTAAAATCAGATATGCATTATGGCTTAGTTTAGTAAGGATTGGTTTAACAAGTGCGTTTCCACCAGAGCTTTATCAAAACGCATTTTTTTTTTTTTTTTTTTTTTTTTTTTTTTTGAAATGCCAAGTTCAAACCAACACAAACAGCTACGAAAATTATTGAGCAAAGTTTTTTTGTGTGTGTCTGTGTTGTGCGCAGGTTTTATTTGGTTGTTTCTATGCCAGTACTAAAAACAGGTGCCGGATCTTTCGGTAAAAGTTGATAAACCCATTAAGAGAAACGTATCGGTAAACTGAAGAACGCCCTCCAGAAATACACCTGTATTCAGCAGTTTTATCAAAGGAAGGCTGTTCGTCACTTTTCTTACTTATTATAAACAAAATTATATCTTTCAATTTCTTATTTCATAAGTCATTATTTTCTTAGGAACAATGAATAGCTTGGATTTCGTAATAAACTCCTTGTCCAAACATAAATGTGGATTTTTAAAGAACTAATTCAAAACAAGAAAAACACCAGCTAGACGTGCCGCTGATTTGGAGCACCATTTGCGATTTGTGTTGTGAGAAAGGCAAGTGTTGTTTGAGAAAACATAAACTCTAGCAGTGCATTGAAAGTGATCGCTTAAATATTTTCAATTTTGACAAAAGCAGTGGCGAAATAAGAAAACGTGCAACAAAGGGCCAGCAAAGTATGAAATTAGAATCTGGCTTAATCTGTGCTGTGTTCCACGAGTGTCGCGTCAAGCCCGGCAAACAGCAGTTGACAGAGGCTTTGCTGTCTTTTATATCAGATTTAAGATAGCCATGTTATTTTTCAGGCGAATTTTTATGTATGTGTTGGTCGTATTTGGACTGTGATGCCATTTCTAAATAAAACGCGGGTCTAGGCAGGTCGTAATGAAGTCGAATGGTAAAGTCAATATTGTGAAAACAGAGTTTTAATTGCGTACACAAAGGCAAATGCAAAAATAAACAATGGCTTCTACTTAAAAATGGGGCATATTGGACCCCCACCGTATATTTTCTTTAAGAGCGTTTCAATTCACGGTTTGTTGTGTTTAAGAAAGCATATTTATCAAAATAAAGCTCAGGTAACAAAGGGCGTATGTGCTGGGTAAACGGGGCGTCGTTTGATGTGACCAAACACGATCTCCAGTTGTAAACTAAGGCTCTGTTCTCACAACTTTTAGATCGATCTATCACCGCGGGGAGTCTCACTAGATTACTGTCAGATAATCCCCCTTAAGTGTCCGTCCCCGCCTACTACAAGCTTTAAGGGGTAATTAACTTTCGTGTCCGCCCGGCTGACAGCTATTTAGCGTGAACCCCCAGGGAGTTAGGTCGATCCAATGTAGGTCGATCTAATCTATGAGAATGGGGTGTAAGTTGCGCATATTTAAACCAATGTGGATTCCAATAGCCACAAAGGCGCGTATTTACTGAGCATTTCTTCTGTAGAATCAAATAAACTCAGTTTCCGCTCGAGGCGCTGGGGTGTTGTCTGTAGCAAGAATTGTATTAAATACACTTTCTATTGCGGGAAAATATGGGTCGCGAAGTCGTTATGCCTTATTTGTTTTCCAGTGTTATTTCTGCCTGGTATTCATCAGTCCGCAGGTGTTTCTAGTGATTTGACAGGAAGAGAGCCAATCGTTCACCTGAGTCGCGTGGGGTATGGAGTCGCAGGCAGAGACAATGACCAGCGTTTGACGTCTGAACCGGGGTCTCCCCCTTTCACGAGGTGGGGGCATGACGCCCTCAACCACGGAACTGGAATCACTTGGATACTAGGCTTAGACTCCGTTCACATGAAAAATCTATTTTCTAAAAATCTATTTTCTATTTGCGGTATCTTGTGATCACTCCGAGCGCAGCCGAGAATTAATTACAGGTTTAGAAGTAACTGGCTCGCGCTGCCAGGTATTCAGGGCACAGACCGTGATCACAAGATACCGCGAATAGAAAACAGATTTTTTTTAGAAAATAGATTTTTCATGTGAACGAAGCCTTAAACAAAGCAAGCGGTCGTCTATCGGTCGCCTACCTGAATTAGCTACAGAGTTAATGTGGTAACTGCATTGAAAATCTGACTGAAGACCCTGTGCAAAGGATTGTGATATTGAATCTGGGGGGGGGGGCAGTTTTAGTGTTCAATTTTTTTTTTTTTTGTCCTCTCATCTTACTCTCCGGTGTATTATAGCTCGCACTATAACTGTGCGTCTTTTGAAGTCTACTATTCTCCTGTTCCAAAATTACAGAAATGCAAGGAATGTATGCTACCGTTCATTCCGCTTGGAAGAAGTGGTATCAAAATATTTCGAACAATATTTTCTGAGCTTAATAGTGAAAATTGTCTTGCACTGGATGTAACAACAACAACAACAACAACAATAATAATAATAATAATAATAATAATAATAATAATAATAATAATAAATTCAAGGAAATTGTTGCGTCAGTATTTTTGCACCCCAAAAACTCTAAGTTCGGCTTAATAGATACATGTATACAACTGTACACCCCCATCTAAAATATATATTAATTTATCTATAGCGCAGGTATCAGAGAACTGATCTGTCAGTCTTGAAATATTGATTATGATGTTTAACATTGAGTTGGTTTAAAATACTACCCAATTTCTATACTTATGCCAACTGAAATACAATCATCTTGTTTTAAATTTATACAGAGGCTGGCATTTGAAGTTTGTTGACAGTAGTAAAAAATATATTTTGGGTATGCTCAAAATCTCCCTCCCACTCTCTATCTCCCCCACCTCTCTCTCTCTCTCATTCTCTCTCTCTGTCTCTCAGCCTTATTGTATATGCAGTTGGAATATTTTTTCTCCTATAATACTCTTTTAGAAGCTAATTATGAAATATAAATGAATAGAAATAGTATTTCCTTAGTCATGAGATTGCCCCAAACCTTTGTCGTTATTTAGAGACTGTGGTTGCGGCGCGTTGGAAATGATATCCTAAATTGTTAATGAGTTATATGCGTAATCCATGTCTCTCTCCAATTTATTACAAAATGCTTCCGTAACCATAATACTCCGGGATCGTTACTCGATTTAGAGGAGCAATCTATCACTTTCAAATCGGGAAGCGAATTTTGGAGCGTTACGCACCATGAGAGCGATTTTGGTTAAGGTTTTCACATTTTCCCTTGGGACCCTATGATAACTTGACCTTATT